CTTATAGACTGGTCGAATATGGTTAATATCGACCAATGTGAGGATGAGGTACCGCAAAATCAATCAAAAATAATAATGTGCGAGATATGCAACGAAGAAGAGAGTAAGTATAAGTGCCCTGGTTGTTTCTTCCGGACGTGTTCGGTGCAGTGTTCGAAGAAGCATAAGGAACTTTTTCAGGTGAGCGTTGACTTGGTTTTAGGGGTGTGATGTTATTCTTTCGGTATTACATATTAGGTTATTGCTAAAATTGTACATGAACCAAAGTATAATAATAAAAATTTTCTTGGTGATATATTTCTTGTCTGGATTTTTTGTAAATTTTGATATTGCAAAGGAGTAACTTTCAACAGTTGAACTTTCCATTTCTGTGAAAACAGGCCTCTTTTATACTCTGAATTGAGTTATTTTGAAATTGGAATTTTTATTGAAATGGCTTTGTCATACTACATCCGGAATTTTTTAATGGCATCTCTTTATCGTAATTTTTTTGAACCAACTTTTTAGTCCCAGCTTAACGATTATCCTGTTTTATATCATCTTAACAGACCTTGTTTACTGGTTTAGTGTAACGGACAACGACAAGTATCTTCGTTTAGTGTAGTTAGGCGACTTGCAGACTGTAACGCCGCAACAATAGCAGAAGATGAAAAATTTTTGAATGATGTTGAGAAATCGGTTACTAACTTACTTAATTGTGCATCAGCCTCTACAAGTGTTGCGCAGTGCTCAGCGATTTCTGACTCTTCAGGTGCGAAAGAATTGAAAGAAGCTACGGTAATTTTTGGTTGTTAAGACTACTTTGCTTCATTTTCTCGAATTTTTATCTTGTTTCTTCTTCTTTCATTACAATGGTTTTGCTTAGGATTTGTCCGAAAAGAAACCTGAGGTTTGTCTAGAAATCGAAGTCAGTCCGAAGGGGAATGAAGATGGTGGCCAGCGGCAAGGAGGGAAAAATCTGACAGTTAAGCAAAGGTACTTGTGTAATAATGCTCAGAGGCGACGCATATGGATAACAATACCGAGGGATGGAGGTAAATTTTTTTTACAGTTGTATAGGAGTTATTTTCTTGGGTTTAAACCTACTTTTAAATTTTTATAATTAGTTATTATTGGATGCTAGTGGGGAAGTTCACTTTTATTCTATTTTCGGTGTACTTTAGACAGTTTTGGATAATTTTTTGGAAGTTTGAGTTGCTGATAATGAAAAAATTATCTTTTTTACCACGTTTGCTGAATCCTTATCACTAAATTAGTTTTTTACGGCTAGGAGTAATTTCAATCTGCTAATGACTTATTTGCCAAATACAACGAGTGATTTTAGTTTTACTTTCTTTCATGTTTTTCTTTTTTTAAGCTCAGTTCGTTTTTATGAAGTAGTACAACCCCGTTTTGAGTCTCCAGTAGAAAATGGGTTTTCTTGCAGTTTCTCACGCACATTTCTCATTTCTTTACAATGACGTTCTGATTGAGCAGCTATTAGCTTTTCTAGAAAAGAAAAAGATCAAAATTTTAGAAAAAACCTAGATTTCAAAAAAACTTGTTTGTCGGAAATAGTGTTTTTGTGCGCCAAGTTGCGCGGAAAAGAGCACGGTTTTCGCGCAGAAGAGAAATTCGTGAATACATAGTGATTCGAATTGCAAGAAGCTCTCTACATCTAATTCCGTTGGTGATACTACCTTTGCAATAAATTAAAATTTGTTTTAATTTCTACATAACAAAATTAATCTTGCATAGTTACAGAGGAGGATGGCTCCCGTCATGAACCGTTTTCGGATACTATTTTTTGGACAATTGATTTAATATTTCGCAGAGAAGTTCAAAATGGAGAAGAAACAAAGAACACAGTTGACTACTTTTATAGTGCTAAAAACATTCCAGAAAGTATTTGTGTCTCTACCCTTCTGCGACAGTTTATAAAGCCAAAAAAAGTAAACTTTCTAAAACCCATCATTTTTAGTGACCTCAATCATTCTTTACTATTGAGGTTGTTCTGCAATTTTTTTTGCTTCTTATCAAATTTTTAGATCGGCCCAGTGGTTAATCGTGATGAATTAGATGCTGAGAAGCTTCTACCGTTTCAGGAGGTAGGATTAGATGGGTTAACTGTATACATGCCTGTGCCTTTGGAAAATAAAGAACGGTAAGTGTTGCTGTTTCTGTGCTAAAAGAATATTCTTCTCCTCTATTTTACCTGTGCTGTTTCTTTCATCAACTTGGTTGTCTACAGATTTTATGTAGTGGACATTAGCAAGACCATACTGGATAATCTGCGTAACCGCTCCATTATAAGCCATCCAACTTTTATTGTAACTCTTGACACCCAGATGGGACATTACATTATGCTAAGTGAGCAAGAAGCGCAAGAAATGAGGGAGACCAGAAGGATGCGTGATGCGGACGATAGAAGAGGGCGGGGAGGATTCCGTAACAACGTAGGTTTCAATATTTGATGGCACGAAAATTTTTTTCGAAATGTATAATGTAAATATAAAGTGACACCGTACTTTAGAGATTCGGATCGCATCAGGGTTTTCATAAAAAATCACTCCATGAAAATCGGTTTTTGGGTCGCCGACGTTTTAACAATGATGATTTGGAAATAGAAGTTTTGGAGAAAAAAAGGGTGGAAGGTGACGGTTTCCCTGACAGTCGTGGTACTATTGACAGGTTTGGGGAACGTCTTGAAGAGGAACGTTTCAACTTTCATGAGAAACGTGGAGATTCTTTTGGAAGAGGAGGCCGAAGGAACGGTCGCGGTTATTTTGATCGCAGAGGGAGCTTTTGGGGAAGAACTAGGTTCGTCTTTACTGAGCATCATTTTTTAGTTATGGCATTTTAAGTTTTTATATTTTTTGTTTTGCACTTTTTCTTTGAAAAATTTTTTGTCGGAAGTTACTATCTGTCATGGTTTTTTAGTAATGTGTATAAGTATGTTCTATAAATTGGTTTTTCCTTCAATTTCTCAAAATTTGGATTCTAGACAAATTGTAGTTTATTTGCTGTTTCATTCACGTTTTCCATTCCTACTTCAAAATGTTGTTCTTTTTCCTGCTTATTTTATGGTAACTGAATTTAGGTACAGCATTCACCCTCTTGAAATGTCGCCAGCGGAATTAGCAGCTGCTGATGCAAATCAGAGTTTGCGACGCAGGAACGAAGCTTATTCCGCTGAAGATGCAGTTATTTTAGCTTGGGCGAAAGCAGTTGACAGTCGTTCAAAACAAAATTCACGGATGGGCAATACTGAGTCAGCCTCTGTAGAAACGTGATAAAAATTTTTTTTTTACGTCTAGGTTTTGAAAAAGTTCAATTGTAAGCCGTTATCGTTTGTTGGCTCTGAGAAGTAAATTGACACGTAGTTTTTATGTGTAGTGTACAGTTTAATCCAGTTAGTACTGAAAAAGCGTGTGAGGTTTAAATTTATCACACATTTGTTGTTGCTCTTTGGTTTTTATTTGCTGGGATTTGGAGCTGTAAAGTTTAAATTGTTGAAACAATGTTTGCTTGTTGGCAAACCGTAGCCGATGCAGTTTTTTACGAGAAGGTATACACTTGTTTTTTTTTTTCGAAATTTTGAGCAAGGCAGTGAAATCGTTTGCTTTATCATGTAGGAGCGTTTTAAAAGTTTTGCATCCGGTTTGTTTGAAAAAAGGGGATTTCAGTTTTAGTTGTCAAGTGAGACAGTGTCATTGAGAGCGATATTGAATTTTTTGAAAGCTGTTGTTAATTTGGTCAATTAAGTTTCAAAATAGAATTTTGAAGGTCAGGAAAAAAACTCTTTTAGATCTTTTTTTTCAAATTGTGAAGAAGTTTTTGAGTACATGCAATAAGTTATTCACAGTCGTTTAATTGTTATATTTTATAGATTTATATTTCTGATCTGATTGTAACAGTAGTTTTTGCAATAGTTGGTTTTGCTTTAGTGCTGTTAATTGCCATTTGTTTCCTCTTTCTTTATTCAGTCAAGAGCTACGTCTAATCTTTAGTATGTGGCGATGTATTTTTGGGGTTTGAGCTTGTTGCTTGGTACCTTTGTTGTCGCCTTGTTTTTGGTTACCGGGATGCTAATTAGTAAGTAACATAAGTTAGTCCAGAAGTGTTTTATTCAGGGTTTGTAGGAACACACCATTAAATATCTAAAAAAATTTAATAGAACATTTTGCTTGACGTTGATTCTTCTCTTTTACGAGAAAAGCAGCACCTACTATTGTTTACAGCACTTAACGCACGTATAAAGTTATTGCTTTACAACTGGCTATTTTATCGGCAACAGTTCTGTTCAACTTCATAGGTAAACTGGTATTCTCGTTCGCTTATTTGTTGGCATCTGAAATAAGGTCATTTTTGGATGAAGTTTTAATTTAGGAGAGACTAATGATTTAAGCGAACTTGTAAAGGAATTGTCCATTTCTTGCGCTTCCATTAAGAGGCACTTGAGTGCCATCTTTGGCTACGCAATGCAGTACTTCGATTGTGCCACTGTTTGAACACTGTACCTCAAAGTACATGTTGTCTCTCCATCGGCTACCTGAAAATGGGACTTGTAATAATCATTAATTGTTTCTTTGAGGGAGATTCTTCAGACCAAGATTTGGTTTTTTTGTTTTGAATTTTTCGTTTATTCTGCTTGACTTTTTTCTTGTAGATCATATTTTTTCCGCATTTATTTTTGCTATCATATGTCAGAGGCATTCAAAATAGAGACCAATTTGTTGCTGAACTGATACACTTTTAAAAATTGCATTGCTCGGTTGCGAGGTGCATTTGGAAGGCGAAAGCTGCGTTGCTCATTTCTTGGTTTTAAGCTTCGGAAGCTTTAAGGTTACATAATCTGGGGGTGTAAACTGGGGCAAAGGATGTGATGGAGAATGAAATGTTGATATTTGAACAATTAATTTGAGGTGATTTTGTTGTTCAGTGACAAATTTCAATCAAAATTCAAAGTGTAATAGCGATTCTGCATCAGCCCTTGTTATTGGTTTAAGAAAGCCTGTTTTAAAAAGCCTACCAACAGGTCTTTTACGCCCACATTGATCGTAACATGTAATTTGAGGTGGAACATATTTCATCTGCGTACCATGCATCCAAGCAGTACCGTCAGGTTGTTGCTCACATCTGATGGGTTTTTTTAAATAAATTTTAAATTTTTTTTTGCTAATTACTGGAATTTTCATGATTCAAAGATTTTTTAAATTATTTGAGAAGAAATTTATTAATCATTTTTCACTTTAGCTAAAAAAACCAATTATATTGTTTTTTTTTTCGGCACAATTGTTGCGACTATCAAATGAAAAAGAAGTTATTTATTTATTAACAAAAAAAAAAAAAAAAAAAAA